ACAATCCAAACTGACAGTTGATGACTACAATGGACCTGTTCCAAATCAGCACAGTGGAGCACTGCTGATAATTTTGCTCTCATTAAAGTGCTTTTCCTCTGCACAAAGCCTATCAGCTTCTTTCCCTCCTTTAAATTGTCATAAAAGGTCGGTGCTTTCTCAGCGTATGGAATAAGAAATAACACTAAGAATTTCAGATACTTTTATTAATTTGGGCAGTTACCAATGACTACTGTTGAATTTATCAATGTGGGTGAATCTGCTCTTGCACATATACATTTACAGTTAGGGATCTGACTCATCCCTTAAACGGTGTTGACATCAGCGAAGGTGTTAAAAATATTTTCTGTTTTCTATCAGTCCTTGAAGAGCATGATAGAGATGGCAGCCCACAGGCTGCTCCCTTTTCTGCTGGCAGAGCTGCGTAGACAAATAGTAGTGCATGTGCCTTCAAGGTGACCCTAACTTTTGATCTTAGTGCCTAGGATGTGCATCATTTCTCCTTTGGGCTTTGGAAGTTGTGAAGAGGGGGAAAAACTGTGGAGCTGTGATTCCAAACCAGAAATCTTTGCATTTTTTCATGCCCTGTGTGCTGCCCCATTCTCATCCCCTTTACGATGTTACAGTTTCTCTAGAGTCTTCTACCTGCTCCATGCATCCCAGCTCTCTTTCCCAATAGCCATGGAAAGGAATTCAGAAGAGAGAGCTCCTCCCTTTATTTTTCATGGTAGATGATCCTCAGTCCTTGCTTATATTGAGCTTTGTCCCACCTGCTTCCCTCCCACAGGCTGAGTGTTCATTAGCTTCACATCCTGGTCGGGCTCACCCATTCCTTTTATTCAGAACTCACAGTTTTGCCTGAGTCAAATTAGATTTCTCTAGTTTTACTCTCCTAGTGTTTCACTGCAAAAATGCTCATTCCAAGTCACCACAAATGCTCATTCCAAGTCACCACAAACAGCAATTCATTTCTGTCCCTCCACAGACATTACAGAGCCAGGCTAAGGCTCTGGGAACTGTCTCTTGGAGCTGTACATCCTCTTATCCATAGCTATCAGGACTACTGGAGACTGTATAAGAACATGCCAGCCTGTTAACATGCTAAGGTATTTCTTTGGATTCTATCAATTTCCAGTACAAAACGTTGGTCACTGCACCTGTCTGCAGACCCTAGAATTTCAGCACAAGCTGTATTTTTCCTAGTGCCTACAGTGGCTGACGTTTAACAGTTACCAACATAATTTCCGAGGTACAGTTTTTCTTCTCCTCGAGAGCTGCAATTCATTTAAGGTGCTGAATCCAACACCATTTTTTCCAATAATTCTATCAAATTTTTTACGTTTTCCTGCACGTAATTTTATCCCCCTACTACATCCAGATTTACTAGTTGTTTATACTTAATTCAGCTCTAAAAAGGTCACATACAGGTGCTTACACATATCAGAAACCCATGATCAGCTAAGGAAATATCAGTACTCCAAAAGGACTGTCAGTTACTGTGCTGCTTTCTCAGCAGGCTCTTATTCCACATAGGAGCTAAAAATCCATCAGGTGCTCATAGAATCTAGTTCCTATCTGTGTTACTCATTTCTCATAAAGAAACTGGGCCATCCCTCTTGGTGATGCCCCAAGAAACACATGGATTTTTTGAACACTAGAGATAACAGCAATGATGAAGGAAGTGGGATTTTTAATGACATGGAGATGAGCATTGTTGTGCTTTAGCTGAAAACTCATTTTTTTCTGAGAAACAGATTTCAGTGCTGAATACAAGTAAATCAATACTCACCATTCACCTACATGTAGACATTTTAAAGTATGAAGTACAAAGTTTTTTCCTCATCTTGCCTCTGGCAAGAACCTCAAAAAGCACAAATAGCTTACGACTGTTTGCTACAAGAAAGAAATTATTCTACGAGGAGTACCCTCAGAACAGAGCTGAGATACTGTTGTGGTGAAATGGAAAAGACCAAAAAGTTCAGAAAAGTGCTGTCCATGCAGAACAATATAATGGAATTAAAATTTTATATGGTTCCAGTGTAAGAGAAAATACATTTGAAATAGACTCATGTCATAACCCTTCTCCTCAACTGTCAAGTACTGCGCTGCTAAACCAGAAGAAATTAGCACGATTTAACTTTTCAGTGTTCATGATCAAACCCTACATTTATCATTAACAAAGGCACTGCCTCCTTCCTGGTGCCTGCTCTGGCTTTTCCTCAATTCCTGGAAGCATTCCAAGCGTCTTTCGCAAATTAAGTTCATAAGAGCAATGCTGCCCCCTACCTGCTGGCACTATAAATTGTCACAATTTTTAGTTTACTTCGTTGATTTAAAGGCAAATATTTAACAGTTTAGTTAGCAGCCATTTGCTATGTTTTTCCCTTTCAGAAAGGAGGCAGAATCTTATTCAGAGTGATGTTATTGATCTTACCTGGGTCCCTGAGCTGGCACATCATTAGGTCAGATTAAAGGTAAACCTAGAAATCAAACAAAGGAAATTCAGCTCCTAAAATTTGTATGCATTTGTTACTGCCTTTTTGGCTGGGGCAATTAAAAATTATGCTTAGTTCAAATGTACCTGCTGATTAATTATATCCCGTACATTCAGAGGAAGCAAATTTATCTCAACTTATCTCTAAAGAGAAGTTCTACAAAATAAAGCAGCCCTTATCTGTACTGAAGGGACTTCTGAGGAGGATTGACATGCTAAAATAGCTCAGAGTTGGACATCAGAAGAGCAGAAATGTAACTGATGACCCAATATATCATATGTGGCAGAAAACCGTCATTACAAGCAGGCTGACAAAAAGTCCAAGATGAAGGGATGGACACTGATTATCTTGCATTTGCTCCTGCTTGTGGAGTCTTCTCTATTCCTAGTTGTGCACAAACTCCTGTTGAGCAAGGAAAAGGCTTGCAACAGCCCTGTCTGAGAGAATTTATATTTAGTGTTCTCAAGGTGGACAAAAGGGGATAGAAATGTGGGTCTTTGAACCTTTCAAGATACAGAGGGAATGGGTGACTTACTTCTGGTCATACAAGAAGCATGAAAAGGCTGAAAAATGAAAGCAGTGCTTCTTCCTAGCTCACTGGTTTTATCACAGAACAACTTATTTTTTCTTCCAGAAAGGGCTCTGTATAAGCTGAAGAGCTTCAGAATTTTAAATAAGTCAGCCTTCAAGGACCAGTTGCCACAGATTCTTTATCTCCCCTGAAACCTGAAGCCATTCACCTAAATCTGCAGTAGGATGGAACAAAACACAAATGCCAAAAGACCTAACCCACCTGATCAGCCCAGGATCCCTTAAGAAGAGAATAATTTCTTCTTGGGATAACAATTCTCCTGAAGATTTATTATGTAAAAAAAATTAGAAGCAGATAAATAGAAAATATGGCTTTCCTATCTTACCTCCAACTTGAGCTGACTGTAACATATCCATCCAGTCAACTCTGTAAAATCTTAGAATTATAAAATGTTTTAGTTTGGAAGGGACATTAAAGATAATCTAGATCAAACCCCCCTGCCATGGGCAGGGAATGTCAGTCTTACATCTCAAACAAGATGCCAGTCTTGCATCTTAAAGAAGAAATTATAGTAAGGAACACACTTTAAGACATCGTATAGGCCCAAAGGGATTGCTATCAGTTACCACTGTTCAACATTTGTTGCCAGAGAAAAACATTCCTAGGGCTAAAAAGTGAAGCTCTGTTCAGATTCCAGGTTGGATTTGAGTTTGTCTTCATTTCAGGCCACAGAATAAGCCTGCTTTTCTGGATAGGCCTGAGGTGACATATGAAAAACAAGACATAAAGGAAAAGACAAGAGATCTGAGAGTGAAAGAAAAGAACAAAGCTGAGAAACAGAAGTAAGCTGCAAAATCCATGACTCTGCATCCCTTTTGTGCTGGAAAAGGCCCTTGTCTTTAAAGTCTGAAAATAAAGAATTTTCTTTGGGGAACATAAAAAAGTCTCTCCGTATAGTATTGTCTCTGGCACAAAATAGCCCTGTGCTCCTCAGTGACTCAAAGCAAACTGAAAAGCAACAGGTCAATGTGAGGAATAGCTCCATTCCTCCAAGGAGAGTACAAGTGCTGCCACAACTCAAAGAGGTGAATTCAGGGTATCTGAATTGCAGAATTGCAGATTTTCTCTCCGAGTATGAATTTTCATCTATCTGATGTAATGCAAAGGTAATCACCCTACTGAACCAAGAGTTTGAATCAGAAACCAGGAATCAAAAAAGAGACAGCACAGTACAACACTGAAACCTTGCAACATATAGGTTGATGTTGTTACACAAGCATTATACCTGTAACAACACTGAGGACACTTCAGCAATAACAATCCCTGATTTTCAATATATTACTGTAAGCCTTTCAGGAGAAACAGGCCTTTTTGCACTCTGAATAGACTAAATAAGATGCACAAAAGCAGAGACATCAAAGTCCTCATTCTAACATTAAATTAATAAAAGACTCCATGATCACATGGAATTATCCAGTATTATTATTCTAAGGGATTTCCTCTGTTGAGACTCATTTACACACTTTAGAAAAAAGAAACCAGCACAAAATGCTCAGGGCAGCCATCACCTCATTTAACTGAGCAGCTGTGTAGTATTTGTCTTTACCCTAGCAGGTTGGGTACACAATTGGTCAGGTTTTAGATACACCTACCTGCTTAGATCAGAGGTTTCTGTGCCAAGCTATTTCTTGCAATTTTTACTTGCAAAATGGACTACGGCTAAAGTCACCTGAGGCACCATGGCCAGATGCTCTTATTTAAGGAAGAACACTGCATCAAGCTCTGATGATGCAGCCCTGTGTCTGAACTCATCCTGTAAGAGAAGGCTAAACTCTATATATTGTTATGTTTAATATGTGGCATATGAAGAAACATGGAAGGTTCAACAGATTAATTTTTTTGGGGGGGATCCCCAAAATAAAATGATTATTTAACAGGTAAAACCATTATTAATGCCTTTAACCAAATCTGACATAGCTGGTGGGCATGACCAAAGCATTTTTGATGTATAACCTCTACTGTCATATATTACTCAATTACCTTCCTCTCAAGCTATATTCCCCCTGCTCACTTCATAGTCCTCTCTGTGGAAGAAATGGATTATTTTAAACACAAGACACTTGTATTTGTATCTTGCTGGTAAACTTATGGTGATACTTAGATGTTTGTTCTCACAGATATTCCTAAAACAGAAAAAAAGTTATTTGGGAATTACATCCTGAAAGAACTACTCTGTCCCCAGGTTGTAACTGCTGTTTCAGGAGAGGCAGAAAGCTGCAGAGGCTGGAATGCTCAAGAGACCTGGACTCCCATGAAACACTAGACAAAAAAGGCACTTGCTGCTAGGAGAGGCAACGTTCCCCAGAAATCACAGCACCAGGGCCTTGATGGGGAAAAGCTATCGAGTTTCCCACTGAAGCAGGCCTTTGAATGTCACTTTGCAAAGAAATCAGACACTGGGGGCAGCGTTTACTGGCTTCCCTTCACGCACATGACCAGCTCCAGAGGGAGGAGTTTGTTCCCACGGCTACCGAGGCGGGCGAAGGGGTTAGGGGCAGGTGGCTCCCTTGGAGCTTCTGGGTTTGGGAGCCGGATGTGCAGTCTGCAGCACGGCAAAAGCAGGAGTGAATGGGAGATGATCAGTGCCCCCCTCCCTCCCAGCCCCACGGCAAGAAGCAAGTCTCAATGAATCATTCAAAAAACAGGAGAAACAAACCTCAGCTGTGTCTGTCAGAGGTAGGTGCAGGCTGCCTCCCAGATCAGTTTGCATGCTTTGTTAACACCCAGGGCTGTTGGAGGCTGAAATCTGGCTTCAGGATATTGTATAGCATATTTACCTATAAACTCCTTTGCTTCTTTTCTCTGTGGGTAGAAATAAGATATATATTTTCAATGCTGCCTCTTTTTGTGGGGGTTCCAATAAAAAGACTTTTTTTCCACGAGCTGTTTGCCATCCTCTGCGTATGTTTTTTGCCACTGATGCACTGAAAACTGGGGTGCAGTTCAGTAAGGAGAGTGGAGACAAAAGGTCTGTTTTCATCCAGTTAATTCTTGCTTTTCTTTGCTCAGTTTAAAGTAGCCCATGTAAAAGCACTTTTCATCTTTAGGTTTGTCCTCTAGCACTAGGTGAATAGTTTTCTTCCCTTGTAAATTAAAATGGTGTGTTGTTGCTATGGAAATGTTATCTGGTTTTCTTCTTAGTTATTTAAATATATAAGCATACATGTTTGTCTCCAGAGTTTGCGCAGACTTCAGTTCTCCACCTCTCTGATAATTTTGTTTTGGGCCCAGTTTATACACCTGTTCCTGGAAACTTGTAACATGTTGTGTCTGGTATAAGCTGTTGGCTTTTATTCTGAATAACTTGAAAAGACAGACAGACAATTGACACCTGCATGTTCACTCCGCGAATCAAGATCCAAAATAGGGGAGACACCCAAATCATTTTCTTTCCTGAAATGAAGTGATAGTTTCTTGATTCTGCATTCAGTCTCTGACCAAGAATTGAGAATGCCTATCAGGCAACTACTTTTGGGAATTCAAAACCGTTTAATCTCTGAAGATATTGGTGTGAAAATCACTTTTTTTTTTAATATTGCTTTCTGAAGAGGGCTCTTGGGGCTCTGGCCTTTGGCAAGAGGAAGTCTCCTCACCCCAACTTGGGTCATGGTCACCCCCCAGTATGTGATACTTTGATGGCTAAATACCATGGAAAAGATGATGCATGCCCTCTCCCACCCTCTTACGAAGGATTTTTATCTCCGTTCTCAAGCACAGCATCATTAAACCACCTGCTATCACCATCCAGCGCCGCGAGGGCGCTTTAACTCTGGCGCCCATCGCCTGAGGGGGGCACATGTGAGCAGCCATGTTGGGGTCAACGGGAAGGGTGAAGGGGTACACCCCGCTGCCGCTCGGTCCCGGTATCCCCACCGCAGCTTACCTGGATCTACGGCAGGATGAAGCGAGCGGCTCCTTTCGGATCGGCTCTCGGCCGCGGGAGGGCTGCTTCCGGGGGAGGAGACCGGAGAAGGGGCGAGGCACTTTTCCTCAGTGTGAGGGAGCGGCTTCTCTGGGGATGGGATAGCGGGTGAATGCCCTCATGAGGTACAAAGCCCGTTGGAGCGGCAATGTGGAGGGTTGATAGAGGTTTAAAGGAGTTTGGAACAGACCTGGGGAGGCCGGTCAGGAACACTTGGGAGTCCTTCGTTTCCCACCACGGAAAGGCAGGTGGCTGCATGCGGTGGGCATTTTGTCAGCTCTTGGTCGGGTCTGTAGCATTACTGCCGCTGAGGAGATCCATAACCGGCCTTGTCTTCATTTTCCTCATGGAAAACGCAGCCGGGGAGGGGAAGTGGCAAGGCAGCCGTAGTTTAGGAAGAGTGCCTGTCATCGTGGTAGAGCTGAACTTTCCAGGGGTGGTTATGCAAGGGTTGGAGGCAGTGTTTTCCCATTAAGGAAGTATTTCTGGTACTCAGAATTGGGGTCTGGAATTCTCAGAATTCTGCTTTCTCCATTATGTGTCCTTAGGAAGCACCTATGGAGGTCTTTTTCAGTCTAGTGGGTTTATTGAAGGTGTTAAATAGGCCATGGTGTGGAAACTGCTACTACAGCTACCTCTTCATTTACAATATAGTCTTATGTCTTCTAGGGGACCAGTCACCCACGAAAAATCAGATAATGCAAATAAAACCTCATCAATACCGTCTGGCTCAAAGCTACCCCTGAGTAATAATTTTTTTCTTCATTTTTCCTTTTCTGCCCCTGAGGTTTACAGAGTTGTCCCCCAACACATATATTAGTTGTGTAATTTGGGACTGTTAATAGCAATTGCATTCCCAAAACTAGAGATGTACAAGTCTAGACTTGCCCTAGACTTCAAGATTTTCTTTTCTTTTGGACATACCTCCAAAAGCACGTTGGTGAGGAAAAGGTCTGTTTGGCTTTACTCGAGCAGTTTGGCATAGACAACATTTGTAGCCAAGATCAATACAGATGTTTATCGAAATCTCATCTTTGGTTTCTTGTAGAAAAAATCTGTATCTGGAAACATCATAAGAAAGTGGTCATGGATATGATTTGATACTAATTATTGCAAAACTTAGCAGGCAGGTACTTAGAAAAGCCTGCATCTGTGTTCATTCTGCAAAACAAAGCATAAGACTTTAAAAAGGAGAGAAACTGTCTCCCTGAATATCCTTTAATTCCTCCTGTAGTGTTAAAATTAGATGGGAAAATTAGTTTTTGTTACATAAAGTTGATTTTTAATATGTTAGAAAATAAAGAGACATCTCTTTCTCCACAGGTGCTGTTACAATGAATGAGAATATCCAGGAATTAAGGTAGTACACAGATTTTAATTGTTATTAGATAAATTCCTGTACCTGCTGTCCTCATTGTACTAAACAGCACACTTATGAAAATGGAAGCCAGAAGATTCCTAAGGTGTAGTCTGTTATAATAATGTGATAGGGAAGGTGTGAACACAAAATTTAAGGATATGGTTGCCCAAGGCAGGATGAACTACAAGTGAAGGATGAACTACACTGCATGATGTAATTTGTGTGTGAGGGTAATAGCTGAATTTGTATCCATGGAGGAATGAGTTCTTCACTGGCAATGGGATTTCTGCACAAAGAGCAGTATATAGCACTGTCCTTTGGAATGAATTTGCATGTGCCTATGATTCTCCCTACTCTTAGATTCAGAATTATTCAGCATTGGAGAAATGATACTTGTGAAATTCAGTGATTTTTACTGGTTTAAGGGTTTGTTTTTTTTTTTCCCCAGAAGGTAGTGCTTGGATTTAGTGATTTTTGTGTACAGTTATGTATATAATATTCTGTGATTCTATATAGTATTTGAAAGTGTCTCCCAAAGAAGGATAATTAATGATTTGAAAATTAATTGCCAGCAGAGAACAATTGGGATTGTATTTTTCTCCCCAAAGCTTTGATTTACTGATTCACTGAGACTCTGATGGATCAGGCTGAAGTGTAATCTCACCAGTGCACTCATTGCAACAGTGACTAGTGGCAGATGTCACAAGAAAAATGGTGAGGAAAATGCGGCATTTTTGCATAGTACATCACAATGTCCAGGGAATTAGAATGTAAAGACTTACTAAATCTAAATATCTGTCCCAACTGTCAAGTTTATTAGTCTTTGGTGTTTGGATAGTCATTCTTTTAACCTGTTTGCACATTTAGGTTATACCCCACAATAACAGGGGAGTGTTGATAGAACCTCCACCCTTGCCTCTTCTTCCCAGTTCCAGAGTTACAAACTCAGGATGATTTTCCCTATGCTCTGCAGTTCTGTTTGCTTCAGTGTCTTCTGATCTTGTTTCATCAGTAATGTCACAGAAAGAAAATTAAGGTTTATCAGGATGCCTTGATACAGCTGCATAGAGGCAGCATAACAAGTGCAGTGCACAGACATAGGGACTTGTTGCATTGTGAAAAAGAAGTGCTGTGTGGGCAGAAATCAACTGTGCATGTTGTACTTTGGTCATTTGTGAATGTCACAGTCCTGGTATGTACACGCAAGAGTACTGATGCTCAATGACAGGGAGCTGCTCTCCTTGATGATCTCATTGTCTTCCCTCAACTGTAGACTTGCCAATTAAACTGTTTTTCCACAATGTCAGATTCCAGTTTGTCCCTCGACTATTTTTTCTTCATGTTTCCTCTTAGTTTTCTTCTCTTTACTGCTTAGAGCTGAACTGCCAAAACTTGTCTGTTATTCTTACTTAGATGGATTTCTTTCTCTTTTGGTCAGAAAAACTCATTTTGCCTTTTTTTAACTTATCTGCCTGCTTTCTTTGCGCACACACACACCCCCTCGCCCTGCTCCCTGACTCCGCCTCAGGAATGTAGCAAATTATCTGATGCCCGATCAAGTCTAATAAAATCAGATGGTGTGTATTGGCACAGGCTTCCTTTCTTCTGTGCGCAAGGTTTTATACAACCGAACAGGTCTCTTGATTCTAAGTTCTCTTAGATGTGTCTTATCATGCCTGCAAATGAAGTATTTGATAGATTTCTGTGGGTTTGATGGACCATACAGTTCCAGCTTTGTCTCAGTAAGGTAGTATTTTACTGACCAGCTAGGAGAAAAAATGTATAAATAAAGGGAAATCCCTTTTCAGAAGGTAAACCAACTTAATTCTCTTTGTTTGATGAAATGCTGCTTTACTTCTTTGGACTTTAATAGATTATGCCTGCCAGTGGCAAAAGATAATAGTTCAGTTGACTACAGTGGAGCTGCAGCAGTTGAAGATGTGTCACTGTGTTGCCAAATACACACGCAAACGAGGAAAGTACAGCAGTGTTGCCAAATAAATTCTCTCGTTTCACTTTTTTTTTTCAGTTAGTCCTGTCAGGTTTAATTTGTGATGGCGTGCAGTCAGGTACTCTTCTGTATTCAGTCCTGCCTTTTCAGCAAATGTTTTTATGTGCTTTTCTGCAGGGAGAGACTGGAAAAACAGCCAAAAGAGTCTCTGAAATTCCACAAAGAAACCACCAAATGCATGGTGGAATCAATGATACATTCTTTGAGTCATGAGGAATCTTTACCAAGTGGCAATATGCCTAGTGTGGGCAAGTATTAAATAGATTTCAGAAGATTTGGGAATAAATTACTATAAACATTGCAGACTGTTATGTAATTTAGAAGTTCATGTTACATATTTCAAGTTGAATCCTCTTTAGGCCCTGTGTCTTGAACAGCTCTTGTCGGCACAAGCCCAAGGTAAAGGCAGAGCAGCTCTGAAGTGTTCTCTGAACACCCAGTTTCACACAGCCAGTGGGGAATCCTGGAATTGGCTGGATTTGTTCTACTTAGAAAAGATGATTCCTAGGTTTTACCATTGGTAGGCACTAAGAGGCACAAATGCCCAGTTGTACAAATAATGGATTATTCTCATGTGTGACTTTTGCTTCAGCAGTTAAATTTATCTGCCTTTCAGGTGCTGCTAGTCCATTTCTCAGCAACCAGAATGTTTCAGCTTCTTCCATTCTCAGCACAGTGATGAAAAGCTCAGCCTGTTCTAGTACCATTAGCAGTCCACCCAATAATGTCTTCTGTTCCAAATATGAAATACATACCGATTCTGAGAAAGAAAATGTGAGTGGTGCTGGCAAAGAACACATGGAAAACATTCTAGAAGAATGTTCGCAGAAAGGTAGAGATGCTCAGAAGAGCCTTAATGAAGTGAGTTGCAAATTTGGGGCAGCTTCTTTAAATACAGACTTTTGTTGGTTTTGTCATTGCTGAGTCTTTGGACAGTTTCACCAGCACTGTTTTGAGCATCCACTTGGCTGCTGTAAATTGTACTTGGCCATCATGATTCCCATGTGCTGTTTGACAGAAATAGACAATGGGTAGTAATGTTGGCATGATCCTTGTAACAGTCTTCCATGCATAGTCAGTCCATGACAGCACAGTGTGACTAGCAAGTTAACTAAGAAATATTAAAAAAACTTGATTCCCATACCCTTGCTTCTCTCAGCCTCTTTTTTTTTTTCCTTCTTTTTTTTGGGGGGTGGCAGTGGAGGTTATTTAATATTTTAGTTGGTTTAGTGTCTTTGGGTTTTTTTTTTCCTCCTTTAGACTACTGAGCTACATGAGCAACAGAAAAGCAATTTAAGGTTGATCATTGCTGATTTGCAGACCAAACTGATGGAAGTGCAATTGGAAAGAGATGCGCTTCAGGATGCTAGGTATGAAGGCCAGGACAGATGTGTTGTGAGGAGTGTGTATATGGGCTTTGAGAGGCACGCCACATCTCTTAAATGAGAAACTTGCCCTCAGGAATGATGACGATGAGACTGTGGCACCTTGGTTTAGAAAATGGCTTACTATGTAGCTGTAAAAAAAATGGCACTTGATCAGCGTAAGTATTATACCTGTTATTCAGGATAAAAATCCATGTTGTGAATTCTGTTTTCTAAATTATTTCTTCATTTTCCCAATACAGACAAAAGGAATCCCAGAGCCAAGAGAATATCAAAATACAGCTGAAAACTACTATTAAAAAACTGGAAGCTGCCAGCCGCCTGCAGGAGGAGATGCTAAGGGAAGCTGACAGCCAAACTGAACATCTGGAAAAGATGGTCCACAGCCCCAAGGAAGTACTTCTGGAAATCTGTGGCATCCTCATGGACTACGAAGACAGCACAGGCAGGAAACTCTGTGACCATGAGAATATTACTAGCCAACAGATGCACAGCCTGAGCACAGGACTTGCTGACATACTGCAATATTTAGACTCAGAGGTGTTATACCTCAAAGAAAAGGTTGCCCTGGTATGTGAAGAAAGTTACACTTTTCCTTCCAAGACTTTTATGTTCTGTATTTTTAGAACGTATTTTTGATAACTCTGTGACCTCCCATCTAAAGCAGCTGAAGGAAATTATTATGGCATAAAGGCATACAAATGCTACTTTGCAGTTAAGATGGCAGGTGCTGGTTTGCCAGCCTTTTACACTATCCTGAACTTGAGGGATTTATTGCCAGAATTTAACCACGTGTAACTGGTTTCGCAGTTTAAGGTGGCAGCAAAAGGAAGGAAATCACACTTTGAAATCTACAGTTTCAAATGTCTCTTCTGTAGGCATTAGCATTGTTGTCTATTTGCAATAGGTAGAAGAAGAACTTGAGTCACTGAAAAAAGATTCACAAACCCCAAAACAACTGCTTCAGCAACACCAAAATAGGTACCTGTTCTCCATTTATTTATTAATATAACATAAATAGATATTTTCTCACATGTTCCACAGATAGCTCTTTTCTGATGATGATGATTGAGGGTGGGGGAATTGGCTGGGTGGGCAGCAATGAGTTTTTGAGGACTTAGTAATTGTTACACTCCAGATGTTTCTTTGCTCTTGACTTTCTGTTGCTTTTTCCTTCCATGCTGACAATTTCCTGTTTTATTCACTGCATCAAAACCTACTATTTCGAAAGAATCTCTACACCCTAATTTTCTAGGTGGACATCTAGAATTTGTTGGGAGACTAGTTCCACCATTGAAAGAAAAGATTGAAATCAATCACTTTGGTAGCTGCCTCAACTTTTTCTCATTAATTTCACTAAGAGCTTTATCCTTCCCTCTTCAAGAAGTCCTAATTTCCCCAGCTATCCACCTGAATTATACGGTAAACTGTTCAAAATAAAAGGGTCAGTAACTCAATACATAATATTTCATTCACAATAGGACATCAAAATGGTTACATTTCTGAATACTGGAAAATATCATTATGTTTTCAGTGCAGAAGTTACTACTTGCCAAGACTAAAATTGTAACCAATATTTTCTTTTCGAAACAGGATTGAGCAACTAGTAAGTGAGCATGAACAGGAGGTGGCAGCACTGACTGATAAAGCACAATGCACATAGCTGTGCAAATAGTATGGAAAGCCAGGTGGAGATCATTCAGTGTGTTTTGTGATTATAGTATAGAAAATGTTAAGAGTAACCTTAACTTTAGAGAAAGCTTATGCTGCTTAGATGCTCTGCTCTCTGCCCTGCACTTTTGGTTTCTTATTTCATTGCACTGTGACCTTTGTCTTTTAAATGTTCTATGGATTCAGATATAAAATTAATTTCCAGCGGCATTTTCAGTTGACTCACAAACAGCGATGGGTAAACAGTTGGGTTGTTTGCATACATGTACAAATAGTGGTGAATAATAATTTTAAAGAAAGGGTAGTTTCATTTGGGATAAATAGATGTTTTGGTTCTGTTGACTTTGGTAACAATTGAGTGAGAATAAAAAGACGCTAATTCTCATCAGCCACTTGACAACTCAGAATTCAGTCCTCAGTGTACCAGTTAAGAAAATGAGGACATGCCATGCAGTGTTGCAAGCCTAAAATGAGATTAAAATGTGAGTATGCATTAATATCTGATTTGCATGGTTGAGACCATGCAAAAGCTTCTCATTTCTGCTTGTAGAATAGTTTGGGTGCATTTGAAAGCAGACTTGCCTTTCTTAGAACTTGCTTGGGAATAAATGAGTTATTATCAGGAATAAAAAGCAGCAGGATTTCAATTATGTAATTTTATGTGAGATGGATATCAGAGAGCAAATCTGACCAGTAAGGGGGTGTAATTTTCATGTGATCCCACTGTGAGTGATAATCCTACTGTAAAGCAGTGAGTTTCAGTGGTCATAATGATTGCAGTGAAAACCACAAGATGTTTCATACTTCAATGGTTCTTACAGTTTCTAATTTCTCTACCTAAAAATTTTATTAGAGAACAAACAAGAAATCAGAATTCAGTGCATGCACATCAAGTTAGTCACTTGGAATCTACAGTTTCTGAGCTGCGTTCTGAATTACAAGAAGCTAAGAGGATATATGAAGACAAGGTGTGTATGGATTTCTGTGTTAGCATTAGTGCCAATGAAACTGTGTATGTGCCTGGAATGTTCTAGGTATATAAGAAAGGTATTTTTATAAGGGCTTGCTTCAGAAAAGCTGTGTGGACAATAAGATAAATTACATCATCCTTGAGTTGATTTGTTTGCATTAGTTTTAAGAACACATTATCGTTCTTTTTAGCACAAAATCTCTCTGCAAAACTCACTGAACAAAATAGTTTTGCTGAGTATATTGAGAGCATACCATAATGATGCCTTCTGGAAATAAAATGATTTTGCACTGCAAACATCACTTGTACATGGAGGACAAGAACGTTGTTGTACTGTACTGCAAGAAAATATGTCAGCAAAAACAGGCAGTAAAAATAGCTTCTTATTTATGTTGTACTGCCCAGAAAAATCTTTTGGTAACTTTTTGTCTTGGTAAGTGGAAGGATGGGAGGGCATTGAGATTACAGCAGTGCTTGAGCATTCAGGTGCCCGGAGATGCCCCATTCGTTAGTTAAGAATCTTTAACATTTATTAAAATCCAAAGGCTTCTATTGAAATCCAAAGGCTTTTTACCAGCAGGATACAATACAGGCAAAACAAAGGGTCTGGGCAGCACCTGTGTATTCAAATTATTTCTTAATCCCATTAGAAAACATTAATCTTGAAGAATTTTTTTTTAACCCTGCTGCTCCCTGAAGCCCAGCTCATTTCCAGGTAGTACAGCATAGAGCGCATAGAGTTACTGCCAACAGATAGAGAGAACTTCTTACAGTTACACACAAAATCTCTGCCATGTCTTGAATTGCAGCATTTTGTATCCCATTTCTGTATCACACCCACTGTATCTTTCGGTTATTTCACTGCTTTCGTTTCCAGTTTTATAAACAATTTGAATAGCTTTAAATTCCTCCTTATTTGTTGTGAAAGATAATTTATGTTTTCTTTAGAAAATTATCTGAAAACTGTTACTGTCCACTCTCTTTAAAAATCAGTGGAGCTCATCCATGCCGAAATGCTTGGTGGATCCAAATCCATCTTAGATTACAAGTCATGAGGATTTAGGCATCCTTCTCCAACATGCTGTTGAAAAGGGAAAGTTCAGGTCACAGGAGTTCCATGAAGTTTGGCAGAGCTCATGGTCTCTGATCCAAAAAGGTCTGAGAATGGAATGGCAGGGATGTGCAGGTCAAGCCAGTAAAGCAATGGTGCGTGTGTACTTGCAGTATAAAACAGCAGGAAGGACATGATGGTTTATCATTTCCATAGGTTTCCTCTTCTGTCAATCCCATAGATTGACATGCATTAAAACTCACATTAGTCAGTTCCAAAAGTAACTTTTCACACCATCATAACTGACCTGTAGGGAATTTGTAAATAAATATCCATTATTGTATTTCATCCTCAAGGAGGGTACAATATATGGTATGTTTTCATGTTGGCTTTACCTGAATTCTTTTGATTCAAATCATGCAGTGCACAGCATAAGGTCATATCAGATTTATAGCTCTAACTATAGTGTATACTCCATGGGCATGTTCCCTTACAGAATGCTTACCTTGTAACAGATGTAAAATTGGAAACTGGGAATCAGTTTAAGTCTATTTTTCACAGTCTTACCAACTCCAGAAAATGTTTGGGTTGTATGTCTAGGAAAGAATATGCTGCTTTATCCAATAAAAACTGCTTTTCAAAAGGAAGTGTAATAAACTGAATTGCTAAGGGAGACTTTAGTGAGAGAAGAGTTGATAGCTGGAGGTAATTTGATCTTAGGCTGTTATGTGGAGTCATTCCTTGGAAGATGTGAGAGAGAATCTAAATAAAGGTTTTATAAATGTATGTCTTGCTTTTACAACATGGCTTCCTCCAGGGCTTCTCTGGTGGGATAAAAACCTTAGCAACTAAAATTTTCAAGAGAGTAGGTGAAAACTAAAGCCAAAGATGAAGTTAAGCGTCAGTTTCGGTATGAGGAATTACTGAGCTGATTAGGGTTCTTCAGCCTGGAAAAATGATGTTACGTAAATGAGGTTTGCAAGATCAGAACCAGTGTGAAAAGGATGACTGAGGATGAAAGGATGAAAAGGGTGACACCTCATGGTCTCTTCCAGCATAAAATGGGATCGTTAAAAGCAAGGTTTAAAAAATCAGAAAAGTGTGTTGGTTCATGCAACAGGCAGTAGACATGGGGAAAGTCCTGCCAAAGTATGTTGAAGTTGCAACAACTTGCAGAATTGGGCAGGGCTAAGAGTAATGCTCCATCCCTGGCACTGTTCAAGACCAGGTTGGACAGAGTCATGGGTGACGTGAGGTGTCCCTGCCCATGGCGGGGGGGGGGGGGGGGGGGGGGGTTGGAACTAGATGATCTCAAGGTCCTTTCCAGCCCTAACTACGATTCTATGATTCTATGGTATAAGTTGTTGATACGAGACAGTTTCAGCAGTCAGAAAAATGTGGTACTTTAGTGGCTATAAATCTAAACATGTAAGTGATCTGTCTGCATATACTACATAAAACCTGCTGTTAGACCTCAGTGTGTCTGGCGAATTTCACTATATCATTAAACACAGAGTGAATATGGCTGAATATATGCTTGGGATGAACTTCTCCCTAAATTAACTTAATTGTATAGGAAGGGCCTTGTGTGAGAACAGCTCTTTTTGTCACTGTCAGAGAAAGTCCTGTTGATAATGTTGTACACAGTAGTTGAGCTCTGTAGAGGGTGTACTTCAGGCTTAAATTTTCTGTGGACATATGGAGTAGCTGTGTAAGGAGGGATTCAGGGAGAAGTGACCTGGGATTTACTGAGATTTCTCCTATTGGAGGGCTCCACAAGATGAGAGGAACCCTTTTCAGAAAGGACCTAAGCCTATCACAGGAAGAAGAGGCCCTCAAAATGTCCTTCCACTATTTAGCCATCAGAGCTCTAGGAGGAGAACCAGTTCAGTTTTGTAGAAGAAAAACTTCATAAGAAGATCTTCAGAACTTTCCCTTGACAACATCTTTTCATCATGATGTGCCCAACCTCCATTTGATGAAAGACCTGAGGTTTTGGCACTAACCCTGCATAAATGGTCCATTAGTAATTAAAAAGAATTATGTCTTCATTATAATCAGATGCATGAAAGAGGGGGGCAGAAGAGGAAAGAAAGAGATGAATGGTTTTGTCACAGGCTGAAGAAACATTTTTAAGTAAGTAGAAAGGAAATGCCCAGATTTTGGTGGCAGCCAAAAGAGAGATTGCAGGTCCTGAAGTGCTTGTTAGAAGAGCGCTGTAGGAGGTTTCATATATTATTGAATGATTCCATATAGATTGTGTTTTAGTCATATTTGCATTATGTTGGCTTTTCTAACTAGTAGTATTGCAAATCAAGCAAGGAGCTTGAACTTTTTTTCTCAAGTGGCTGTTTTCCTGTTCCATTTAATGTTTACAGTGCAGGTAAGGAATTCTTAAAGAGCTGTGGATCAGGGTGGAAGCCAGTTCATTCTCAGGAACCTCGGTTAACTCTGCAATGAAATTGATCTTAATCTCTGAAAACCAACACAGTTCTGAATACACCTAGGGAATAACTGCTGAGCTAAAGGATGACGTTTGGTCTTCTTTTGAGTAGAACCTAGAAGAGCAGTAGAGAAAATCCAATGTAGTATTTAAAATAGAATATGTTAAGGTAATTATTAATGAAAATTTTTCTTTATTCTAGGTCAAAGATCTTGAGAAGCAGTTGCACCTAGTTCTTTCTGAGGTGGCAGAAGCTCAGACAGAACAGGATCAAAGCAGCCAAGAATCTGGATATCCAAAAACCCAGACTTATCAGTTACTGGTAAAACCAAGTGATCGTGTTGAAAAGAATCTTGTTTTCTAAAAGCCTCTCTCTACTGATGGTGTTGAGATTTGCTCATTGCTTGTTTATGAAGTGCAGCAGCCCCCTTATAAATAAGTATGAGGATTATTTTTTATTTTTTTATGAGGATTATTTAGAAAATTGAATTAGCCATCAAGAAAATTTCCCAAGGGCCTTTGCCATTAGCAATGCAGGACACCCTATATTAAGATTAATTTTGTCAAAAACACAAAACCCTTGAATCCTATGCAAATCATATTAAAGATGCTGAGCCACCTTCACTTTAACCTCACAGTTTAGGTCCCTCTGTTCAAGAACCTTGATCCCTTAACACATTTTGCAAGACACATCTGGGATTTTCCTAATAGCACTAAACATTCCTTTATAACTGATTGAGAATATTCACAAATTGAACATGCAGTATAGAAAAGCTTTGCCACACATAGGGTTGATTTCACTACAACTGGCTTCATGTACTATAATTAGCCTTGCTTTTCTTCTTACACAAGATTATTCCTTAATGACTGAATTTTGGGATATTAGTTTGTGTGGTTTCATTAGGTTTGTTTGCCTAGTTATTTTCACAGTGCTCTGAAAGAGATGTTGAAATAATTTCATTCCATACTGCATTCTCCTACTCAAGGGTAAGTTAGTGTAAATCTGTTCCTATAGAATATACATAGCTATTGAGAAGACTGGAGTCAGAAAAATTGTTGTATAATTGAGGGTTAAGAAACTCATTTTAGGATTCCTTTTGTTTCTGTCTTCAGCTCATGTTTTTATTCTGCCATTCTCTGAGCTTCCTAGTTGGTTTTCTACTTCCACTTTTACAATATGCAGATAGTTACAACAGCAAAAGTTATGATTAGCAGTAATGCCTATTGATAATTCAGTTTGCGCACATTTTAAATTTATATTTTCAAAATGAATAGCTCTGAAATGTCAGGATTTTTTAAATAATATTTACATTTTAAATTATTTATAATTTCAATTATGGACTGTTACATCTGAGGTAGCTAGGGGGAACATGTGGCAAATTGCTTCATGAGATGAGATGAGCAATTCTTACTAGTGGTAAAGATGGATATTTATCAAGAGCAGCCTCCCTTGGAATGCAGTGTGCTTTATTGTTTTTCATTTGATGCTGACACAATACAAACTTTTTAAATTTTGTAGCTTACACTGATTTTGGAATAGATATAAATGACATGAAAGACTTCAGTGCTGAGGTGCTACATGCTTCAAAATAACTATAGCAGCAGTATATGAAGTTGAAACTTACTGCTTTGTTGGAAGAAAACATGTAAGAGGTGTCAGACTAGTTTAGCCAATATTCCTGTCTTCTGCTAAGTGTAAATCCATACAGTAGTCCCTATTCAGTTATCAAATTGTATAATTGAATGTGCTGATGTTAAGAGAAAGAAAAAAAAAATCCTAAACGTGATTTAAAGAGGGAGGTGACTTTAATTTTTTGTAGCTTGAACTTCGTAAAAAAGAGATAGAACTAGAACTGCTAGAAAAAGAGCAGAATAAGCGAATCTGGGATCGGAACACAGACAGCAGCATCACTATTGACCATCTAAGGAGAAAACTAGACAACAAAACCAAGCAACTTCAGTGTATGGAAAACACAGCAAAGGAAATGAGGACTGAATGTCAGAGACAACTGAAGTACCAGGTTGGTGAGCAGCTATGATGTGATAGTGTTCAGGACAGAAAGAGCACCAAATAGGGACTTTACTTCAGGTAGAAGCATTGTAACTGGTTACCATGGGATGGGGCGCCTCTGGGGCTAACATGGCAAAATTTTGCTTCCAAAGATGCAGATACATGACACTCAGAATCTGCATTTTTTTTTCCCTATTTTTTCTGCATTTTTTTCCCTTTTCTGACCTGTCCAGCCCTCACTTCTCATTACTTATGAAGATGCAGAACCATTATTTAAATTTTGATTTTTGACATACAAGGCTTAGGAGAAAATGAATGTTCTGCTGATCCTATGCTTGATTTTGACTATAAACCTCTGAAACAACCTTGTGTAAATTTCCAGAAAGTTTGACGCTGGCAGATGTAACAAATGAACTATTGAAGGTAGTATTTTCTGTAAGAATAATTGGTAAATGAAAGGCCTTCATAATGCTTTCATTTATGTAGTGCTTAATGAAAACATAATGAAGTTTATGTTTATAAACCTAAGCTGAATGCAGTGCTATGTCAGAAAGAATTAATTCTGACAAAGTAGATTCCTAGACACTGACTTGTAGTACATTCCTCTTTCTTCAAGACTTCACCCCCTCAGAAATGCGCTGTAATTAGGTAACCCTCTTTGCATTATGCGTAAAGATCAAGCTAATTACTTTGTATTTCAACCAAACCACAGGCTTGTGCTACCTCACATAGCCTTCTACGTTTTCTCAATCCATTATTTTTCCTTTAAAATCCTCCCACCAGGAAGTTCATTCTTTTCTCCTGTTCCTATTTTGTACTATTAGCATATCCCGAGTCACAGTGCTTGATGCTTTAAATGGTGCACATTGCTGCCTGCAGGAATAAAATCAGTATAAATTATTCATGTACATACTTTTTTTCCCCCCAACTTACAGTGCTGTCAGTCGAGTTCTAACACTTAAAGTTCTTTTGCCTCAGCTGCTCTAAATTTCATACTAACATTGCAGGTTTGTCGTTTTGTTGGTTCTATTTTTTTCCCATCAGTTTAACCTTTTCCATTTTCTATAATAAACCCCCAATATTCTAAGCAATACTTTACTTATTAAGATGGGGAAAAGAAAGAAAAGAAGAATCACAGTCATTGTAGACTAGATCATGCTGACCTAATTTTCCTGTAAAACCCAGATGTTTTAAGGTGAACTCTAGAAAAACAGAAACGTGACAGAAAGTTTTAAAGGTATAAATAATTGTTTATCTTGTTTGATCTTTATATTTCTGTTATTCAGATGGCTGCAATTAAGAAAAAAAATGAAAACATTGGAAGAATCTCCTCTTTGACTGTCCAACTGGAGTCAACCGAGGAAACGCTCCGTAAAGTTAAAGAAGATCTTACAGCCAAACAGATCGCTTTGGAGATTGCTGAGAAAACAGTGTCAAATATGACAGCCTGTCTGCAGGAGAAAGAGAGAGCCCTTGATGCTACCAGTGAGGAAATTGAGAAGCTGCATTCACAACTTAGCAGTAGGATGCAGGAGTTCCAGCATCTCAAGAATGACGACCGTTTACATTATGTCCAGTCAGAGTGTGAAACACTGAAACTGCAGATATCAGAGAAGGAAAGGATTATTGAGATCTTCCAAAAGCAAATTGATAACATGACCCAGACTGTGGGCCAGCACAGTCGAGCTGCTGGAGCAATAGAAGTTGAGAAATCCCAGCTTATAAAAGAAATAGATGACTGGAAACTCAAAGCAGAAGAACTTAAGGTGTGCAAACAATGCTTTATTTATGTTTTTGTAATACAGTAAATATTTTCTGTTTTTAAATGTCTGTCATAGTGTGCTAATACTGTGGTTCTAACGCAGATCAGACAATGCACCTTGAATCCTAGCAGCAATAAAAGAGTTAGTGAGCAGAGAGAATATTTCCACCAAAAATGAATAATTCACTGGTAAAAAGCAGTTGCCAAAAGGCTTCTGAAAGCTGGAATATAAGATGCTGTCCTCAGTGGTACAGTTGTCCACACCAGTAACAGAACCAGAAATACAAAGTGTTACTTAAAAATAATACACAGTAAGCACTCAGAATTCCAAACTGAAGACACTGTTTAGAGCTGTTTATTACTCTGACAAGAATTACAGGATAGGGCAGTCTTATGCAGGTCGGTATCTTCAGAACAAATTCACTCCAGATAGGGAATCTCATTCTCTTCTGTGAGAATTAGGGGTAAATATGGAAGTTCTACTAGTAAAGGATGGAAATAATTTTCATGTAATATACCTGCTAAGGTTAAACATGCTGTAAACCATCAGATCAGATTCTGGTTTTGCCTGGATTATCAATTTTCACAGAACTAATCTATCCACTTTACTCTGATTTTCTTTCTTGCCCCAAACTCTTCACTGACAACCAAGATTTAAAATAATGACAATGTCTGCACATCTTTGTGCTTATTTTATATAATTATGTGTATTGCACATAGTTAACATTGTCTTTTATGTAAGTAGATTGCAAAGGATGAGAAGGAAACCAGAATACATGAAGTGGAAGCCAGACTGAGTGAACTGGAACTGGAGAAGGTTAAACTGGTTAACACCTGCACTGAGAGGCTCCATGCACTTAACGATATGAAACTGGAAAAAGAACAGCTAATGAATGAACTTGAAGCCAGTCAGTGTGAGCTAGCTGGCCTTGCAGGTAGGGAGCCTCAACTTGGCTCATCTCTGATAGCCGCTAAATTGGGCTGGTGTTAAAAATAAAAGAGCAGCTTGCTTGCTGAATCCAAATATGGCTGCTGGTACAGCAGAAGGTTCCCTGCCAGCAAGGGGTGGTCAGGTCACTTCAGAGAGCTATGTCGTGATTTGGGATTCTGGCACACAATGGTGGGAATACAATCTTTATGCAGTCTCTCACTACCCTGAACAAAAGTACTTAAACTGCCTGGCTCTGGAGACCAAAGAAACAGACGTAGTAAATCAGAGAACAGATACTTGACTGTTTTTTCCTGAGTGTTATTAAAGAGCACTAGGGGATCCTATTAACAGTCTGTGATCAAATTACAGTGGAACTTTGTTTCTGTTTTGTTGTAGCTTTGCTACAATGTTATTTAGAAATTTTTATGTTGTAACTCCACTGTTTTCAGAAGTAATGTGAGGGAAAGCAAATCAAGATAATATTTAAAAAAAAAAAAGAAAATCAAAAGTAGGGTCTGGAACTAAGCCAACCACCAAAATTCAGGGGGATTCTCTGCTAAATCTGCACTGCAGCCACCCAGATGATACTGTTCACATGTTTTGTTCTCTACACACCCCTCTACTCATAAAATTCCCATTGGGAACATGGATGTCCTCACTTCTAAACTTACTAAGTTTTGTAAGAATTAAACAGAACCTGCATGTCTGCCTTAACTTTGTACAGTACTATCAGGGTGAATGAGTTTAAGAAAGGATTATTGGAGTGAATGACCACAGAGAAATTAAGGCCAAGCTGTTGATAGAGTCTGAGCTCACAGCTGACTGGCTTGTAGTGGTGTGGATGGCATAAATGAGTTGCAGAGAAACAAGAGCAGAGCTGAGAAGCAGAGTTACAGGGGAATGTTTGACAGATTAGATCTGTGCAGCCGTTACTTGGTTATAAGCGTGGCTGGAGAAAAGAATGACCAGGGTAAAATGCTGACTCTCACCAATACCCTTAACTTTCACAGTATGCAGTTGGGTCTAGCAGCAGAATTCAGAAACATGGGTTTATATCACTTACTTGAGCTGTTGCTTTGGTGAGCAACCAAAGAACACATTTGTTACTGGTGAAACAGAAGCTTTTGGTGGCATGCAAGACAATGAATTGCTCCTTTTAAGAGTGTAGGTGAGAGATCAGTAATCTTGGCTAGAAGAATGATATTTTTTTTTTGTCACTATAATTTCAATCTTACTTTCATCAGAGGGATTTGAAGATTTGAAGAGGGACTACCAGGATAAAATCAAGGAGACGGAAAATACAGCAAACAGACTGAAAATGCAGTTGAAATCTGCCCAAGCTGAATTGGAACAGACCAGGACTGCTCTAAAGGCTATGGAAGGATATGATGGCAATGGTAATTACGGATTGAACTTCCCCAGAATCACATACATTTATATTTTTAACGAGGGGATTTTTCTAAGTATTGATCCCTCAGTAGATACTATAATAATATTCCAGATATTTTGTGAAATAAGTAATCAGTACTGCGGATAACAGCATACTTTTATTTCACCTTTTACTACATACTGTAAAATTTAAATGAGAAGTTGAGTTTCCTCAGGTGATCTTTATGCCTGTTTCCAGGGAATGCTCTCTTTTCATCTTGTGAGTGTGATGGGTCTGATGCCACTACCATAAACTCCAGTTAATGCTAGTGGATGGTTTGCACACATAAGTGACTATGGAATCCTGGTTTGACTTACTTATACTAACCTATTGCTGATAACCAACTTCCAAAGTCTTTTGACAGAATACTTGATCAATGTTTTTCATTGAGAATGAACTTTGTCTTTTGTAGCTATAAAAGTTGCAGTGGGAATGCAGAAGCAGATCACAGCCAAGAGAGGACAGATGGATGCGTTACAGAGCAAGATTAAATTCTTGGAAGAAGCAATGACAAATGCAGCTAAGGTCAGAAGAGCTCCCTGTAAAAGTGTTTAACTGTATTTAGAGAAATTTGTATTTAGAGAAATGCATGGCCCAAAGCATAATTGTCCCAAGAAGGACCAAAGAGAATTTTACTTGGTGTAATGGTCACCTTCCCTGTCCTCCCCCTAATATATATGAGAGAATACCTCCACTACATAAATAAGCCTTCTACATAAAGACAGGTTTTAATTTATAGTTATTCTCTGTGAAAGAACAGTACTAGTTTCAGTAAGAAGCAGGCTGTTACATACCCATTCTTTTTAAAAATGTAAACTAATGCATTCTGTATCCTTCTGAATGGATCTAAAATCTGAGATGTTATCTCATTGTGACCAGTCCAATTGTACTTTCTTTATAAGAGCTATCTTCTTGCTGCAGAAACCTCATCTTTCTGTAAAATTCAATAGCTAAGCTTCTGAAATGGTTGATTCAGATCTGTCAAAGAGCAAAAAAAAAAAAATGTAGAAAACAAATACATATAAAGTTACAAATTTTTGACTCATACTTTTTATCCTCATCTTAAATTCAGGAGAAGCATTACCTCAGAGAAAAAAATAGTAAGCTAGGTCAAGAATTGAGCTATATTACATCAGAAAACACCAGGATTGCTGGGGAACTGGAGATCCTGCAATCACAAGACAAACTTCTAAAAGAAAAAATATCCAAGATGGAGACAGCCCTTGATAAGGTAATTTAAGGTGCTTTCAGTGAGACCTTCCTTTACAGTCATTTAGGAAGAGAATGTCTGACCTCTTACCTAGGTTGTATTTAAGTATGTCCTATTCACAGGTACTGTAAGACTCTTACCTGAAGAAAGATCTGTAGTTAAGACTGTCTTTTGGTTTTTTTTAATGGTAACAGTCTTCTGTTTTCATTAAGAGAATTCTCGATTTACTCCTTACTATTTTAGGGAAAGAAAAGCTGCAGGGAATTTAAAGCACATTAGGCTGACCTTCTAGACCTGCCTCTGGCTCTTTGGCACAAAGAAACTCCTCTGTGGAGAGAGGAACAATTATTCAGGATAACAGGGGCTCCACTGAAATCAAGCACTGGCACACCCAGACTCAGCACACTTCTTCATGCTCCTTCTCTCTCTCTTTCTGTGCTTTGGCCTAGAGCTTCCACTCTTCTTTCTATCTTGATAAGCCCTTCCACTCTTCTTTCTATCCTGATAAGCCCTCAGTGAAAAATAGCTCCATAATTAGATTTTTTCACCCCTTTTCAGGATAAACTTGTAAAGAAGAAAGAGTATATAACAATGAGACAGGTCAACAAAGTTATCAGCCACCCATTTTAAAACCTGGAGTTCTGACACACTAGCACAGTTGAATTTTCTAATCCCAGAGGTGTTCAATAGGTCTAGGACTGTCCCTGAAAGGATTAGCTCCCTTCTGTGCATATTAGGACTACTAGGATCATGTAACAGGTGAGTTGCTTTTGTAAGTCTCAAGAAAGGCATCTGGTCATATCGCAGTATTTCTATACTGATAGCAGTAGATAAATATAGCATCTCTCTTTGTACCTTGTTTCTTTATCAGAAAGAAAGTAGACAAGACTGCAATCCACAGAAAGTTAGCAAAATTAATGTTTCTTTTTTCCTCTCTTACAGGCATCGCTGCAATTTGCAGAATGTCAGTGCATAATCCAGTGTCAGGAACAAGAAGCAATGCGCTTCAGACTGCAGCATACTTTAGATGTAAAAGTAAGTATGTTATCGAGAAGTATGAGTATAAACTTAGATGTATTTGCTTTGTGTCCTGACTTCATGCTTAACCCTATTTATTGCCAAGTACTCTAAAAAGCTTGTGTTCTGAAACCTCTTTTTACATGTTCTCCATCAGGGACTGTAGCGATAAGACAAGTGGTAATGGGTTTAAACATACACAGGGGAAGTTCAGGTTAGATATAAGGAAGAAGTTCTTTACTGTGAGGGTGGTGAGGCACTGGAAGAAGTTGCCCAAAGTGGTAAACGTTCCACCCCATCAGTGTTCAAGGCCAGGTTGGACAGAGCCTTGGGCGATGTGGTCTAGAGTGAGGCATCCCTGCCCATGGCAGGGGGGGTGGAACTGAATGATCTTAAGGTCCTTTCAAACCCAGGAAATTCTGTGATTCTGTGATTCTATGATTGTTGCACAGGTAATGTCCATAATTTCAGTTACTTTGAAGTGCTGTGTACAGTAAGGCAATAAAAAAAATCAATAGTTACAGGAATACTGCATCGTATGCTTCAGCTGCTGGGCTTTGGTTTCAGTGACACTTCATCATTTTCTTGCAGCCTTAGGCAAATAAAAGCAAGAAATGTTAATGGCATTATGATAGAAAATGAATTGGAGAGGTGTGAAGGGATAGCTTTTACTAGTGTGAACTGTTACAGCTAGAAAGCACTAACAATCTTTGGGGCACCCACATCCTTCTTCAGGCCTGAAGTAAAACCAGCAACCTTAAAGCTACATAAAGGCTGGAAATAAGGACTCTGAGAATCTGATTATGCTAATTAAGTTAGGCAGCACCAAAGAAAATCATGTTTAAGAAGCCAGGAGAGATGTTAGCAGGGAGAAAGGAAATACAGTCATGAGACATCTGGGACAGAAAAAGGAAAACTTGTAATTGACATCTGTCAAGCTATAGAGCAGTAGTGAAAGATGGGGTATAGGTAAAATCATGCAGTAATGAAAAGCCAGTATCTGTCTCATAGAGCCTAGAACTTTTATTGCCCAATAGATTCAGTCCAATCTCTACCTTTACTAATGAGTTTAATAGAGAATATTATTTACCTTTGCCTTACTTGTAACCATAGACTATTAAGGCTGCAATGAAACTACTGCTATAAATGAATGGTACACTTGGAATGGAATTACTGTTAATTTTAGTGACCCACTCCAATTGCTAGTTTTGAATGAGAAACAAAATGTTATTTTCAAAATACCACTCTATATCAGAGTGATATCTACATCAGTGATCCAGTAAGTACTTCATATGAACAATGGCAAAGGCAGGAAATCTCTGACTCATATGAAAGAAATCCTCATGCAAGTGGGAAAAAAGAGGTACTGGAACTGTGAGACAGTTTAATTTTGTGATGGCCCTGAAATTTCCTCCATTTTAATGGTTTCAGAGCGTATGTTAAAATTCTGACAAGAAATGAAACTGCCACTCCTGCACCTGATACAGTCACTAGAAGGTTTATATCTGAGCACACCTAATAAACGCTAAGAAGCGTTTGAGAAATGAGTAGTGCATATTATAAGGTGTTTGGCTAAGAGATGCCCTGTTACAGAGGGCATGATGCCTATACCCATTTATTCTGCTTAGCTGTGCTTGCTTATTCTGCCTGGCTCATGTTTTTCCACAGGAGCTGCAGAGCCGAGGCTACTTGACACCTTTTCCTTCAGGCAGGCTGTGGCACATAGCACCCCTTTCCCACCTGCACTCAGCTGTCATGCCACCCTCCCTGAATTTGGCCAGCTGTGTCACTGAAGTAAGTACCTGTCTCAAAATGGGAGACTGCACAGGAAACAGGGATGTTCCAAAAAGTAAAAATAATGTGGGATTGATAAATGGGAGAGCATCTAGCAGGACTGTCCAAGAGTGAATTCTTAACACCAAAGATGAAAAAATTTCTGTAGCTTCTTGTATGCTAGGGCCTTTCAGATTTTCTTTCTTTTTATATGTAAAAAACAACCAGACAATAAAAAACTCTATGGATTGTAATAGGAGTTTATCTTACCTCTATCACCAATGACATTTATAATCTGTTAAAATTGAAGGTACTGATCTGTAAGCAGTTTGGTCTTCGCATTCTTTTTCTTTGCTAGTACTCTACTTGCTCTAAATCCCTTACATTTGGCAGTGAAAATAGACCGGTACATAATTTCTGATAAATTTCATCTGATTCACCTGTAGTAGCTTTTAATACTTAAATCTTTCTCCAAGCTGGTTTTCACTATGACCAGTTTTATCCTAAAAGACACATCACTGTCCTTCCTTTTGTTTTTGTACATCTTTAGGTGCTAGTGTTCTGATTTTTCATTACAGAATAGATCAACTCAAATCTCTCATGAAAAAATGTAGTCTTTTGGTATTTTCTGTGTAGATTTTATCTCATTCTCTAAAAGGTACCTTATGTATCTCCTATAGAAATTGGTAGAGTTTTTTTTGTTAATTTTTACCTCAAAATCTGTAGATTACAAGCTACTGCAGATATTTTTCAATAATATTTTCTGTTTTATTTTCTGATGTGGTGACAAACATTTACATCAAGGAACAAAGGAGAGTTAAGTCCCTGTACTATCAGGTACTCCCCTTCTCTTTACTTTAATCCATGTATACTTCTGATGATAAAGTAGGATTTTTAACGTAGTACTATGGCAACAACCTAACATGTCATAAGAGAACTTGATTCAAAGTCTACTTGAATCTTCTTGGTTCCTGCATAATTAGTTTTTGTACAAAATGAAGCAGCTCTGTCATGTGAGACAGAGACCTTACCTGGTCGATAGCCTGGTTCCTTAGCCAGAGTTTGGGAAAGATGGATTTGGTCTAAGTATCACATCTACCCGTTATGAAGCTGAGGACTTGTTCTCCGTAGAAACTCTGCTGAAACTAGTGTGTTCCCATTGGAAGTAACCTTTTCTTTTTCAATGAAAACATGCTAGCAAAATGTTTGTAGCCAGTTCCATCCACAGATGAAGCATAACTCAGTAGGAGCAGTGCTTTGAACACAAGAAGTGCTTGAGTAGTCTGAAAAATCCAGTTCTTTCTGTCAAGAGAGGATTCTTTGAACCAGGCCTTTGCCTCGAGTCCCAGTTAGTAAAATGAGAATAATATTACACTTCATCTCACAGCATAGCTGTGACAATGAAGTGGTTTATATTTGCAGACAGCTCAGCTGTGATAGAAATGAGTGCCTAGACAACACCGTGATACAACAATTTCAATCTTCAGAGCTGTGTTTGTGTACTGGACAGTAATACCTGGGGTCACAGGTCAGAAAGGAGCAAACAGAGTTGTCACATAAGCAATGATTACTGATGCTGTGTCCTGAAAAAGGTAATGGTTGTAGAGGGGTGGGGGGAAAACTTTCATAATGAAAGGCTTATTTTAATGTTTTTACCCTTGAAACAGTAGTCATAACCTTTTTACAATATTTATTGAAAATGCAGATGTTAGCCATATCCTTCCTCAGTGGTATTTAGTTGCTTTACACATTGCTGTCAGATAACTTCCAGGTAAGAGTGCAGTCATATTTGGAGAATATTTTGACAGTTTTCCCATAATCAAGTCTAGCCTCCAACACTTCTGAACTAAAATGACAAAAAATCTGCCTTGTTTCTAACTGTGAAGACAAGAGTAGAGGGGGGAAAATATGTGACTTTGGATGAGTATAGGAAGGAACTGAAAAAGAGAGTACCTTTATAAATACTTTGTAACTGAAATTTCTCTCAGATGTCTTCCAAGCCAGGCATTTTGAAGGATGAACCACTGCAGGATCTAAAGAGGATTCTTCAAGAGTTAACAAACTCAGGCAACGATATTCCCTCTGTGGATCTTGGCGAGGATGGCAGCAATGGTGGGAGAAAATCACCTCTAGCAACCATGTAAGAATATTACTTCTGTTGCATGCAGTGTACTTGTCTTCCCTTTTTAAACTGGGATCTGGCTATTCGTGTGCCTCAGGAGCAAACCTTTTTGCAAGAAAATAGGGTTTACAAGTTAGCTTGAGTTAGCCTGAAAACTTCCAAACATTCTGTTGTTTTCAAGGTTCCTCAGATGCTTTAGGTGGTAGTGTAATAGACGGTTACTACACCATTTGCCTTTATTGTTTGCTTTTTGATGTTTCTACTTTTGTTTTCATGTAGAACTCTCTTCGTCCTTTGCCTTGTGCAAATATCCTTCCTCTCATTATTGTAGCAGCTAATTACTACTGGCAATGGCTTGAAGTTGAGAAATCAATACAGCACAAATTCTGATATTTCTAAGTCAGAATATAAGGATACTACATAAAGGAAAAGATAATTAATGGACTTCTATTAGAATCATATTTACTTAAACGAATGACACTTCTCCCATCATACACACTGTTGGAACAAAATCATATTGGTCAATATCCTATGTATTCCAGGTTCGATGCTGTGTTTCGTCCTGTGTTCTACTGGAGACCAGAAGTTCCTTGTAGATCAAAACTCTGAGATAGCTTAGTGAAGTAATGATGTGTTAAGATTCATTGGTCAGGCTTGTGTCCATAATCTCCAAAGCTTGTGGTTTTATGTACTACAGAATGGGTGTTAAAACAAGTGGGAAGGATTACCAAAAGGCATTCATCACCTTAGCATTTTCTGGAAACAAAAATATTGTGGTGACATCCACAAGACATTGCTGAAGTCTGTAGAAGTTAAGAAGCTTCCTTTTAAATAGATACTTTATTAATTAAATAGAGGACCTTTACAAAAGGATACACAAGTGGTATGTGGAAAGCTGGAACAATGTGCTTCTAGGTAGCTTTAGCAGAGACAAGATTTTGTAGATTGTCTCCTATGAAGACTGAGGTGAAGCTCATTTTCTACTTTTTTTCTCCTGTTCCCAGTGCCTTAGTTAAAAGTTGTGCTGTATCCAAAATTACAATATCAGAATATAAGATGGCAAATACCAGATGCCATTTGCTGTAGAATCTTACTTGATTTATTCTTTTTTTTGTCTATTCCAAAGCTGAGGTTGTCACAAAAAGCCTGACATAGAGCGAGAAGTCTTAGTATGATAAACAGAGATAGCACTTTGTGTGCTTCAAGCATGCTTAGCAGACATGGTGGTGTAGATAGAGATGGAATAGCAGAGCTGCTGGTGGGAATGGAACAGTTCTACAAAAGGTCAGCATTAAATTCAGCAAGATTTTACTTCTTTGGAATACTACCAAGTGTCTCTCAATGCTCAAAATTTGTTTAGCTGTTTGGGTTTTTTTAATTTAATTAATTATCCATTTCCATTCTCTTACCAAATACCACTGTACTCTAAAAATTTACAGTGCCTGAGGAAAGACATAGGTCCAAACCTGGAAGAGGCAACAGTTTATGTTATAATGAAATATAGGCTAAAAAGAGGCTGGTCTGAAGAAGCTAATTAGGAAGCATTGTTGTGTGAGTAACCAGAAGGAAGACTGCAGTGGCACTAGTTGTCTAAAGCAGTTACTGAGTTTTTTTCCATCCTTATGACTGTGAATCTAGTAATTTCTTTCCCAGAGAAATAGTCTAAATTCCCTCTAACACTAATAGACTTCTTTTAGTGGACTCATATAACAATTTTATGATGCCTTTTCTTCACTATTACAATGTGGCTGCCATTGTACTCTGCTTAAGAAACAAGCTTATCTTCTAAAAATGTGAATGTAGTGATCCTACTGGCATAGCCTTTGCTGGGTTTTTGACAGTGATGTGTGTTTCTGTACAGGGAGACTGCATCTAAAGACTCTGCTACTGAAAACAGCATGGAAAAGGATACTTGTGGATGGTGAGAAGTGCTTTCACTCAGCTGAGTAACCTACTTAAAATACTCATTTAAGAACAAGTTCCTAAGGCTTCTTTAATACAGCCCTGAGCTTGTTTATGTTGGTTTATTCATAATGGTAAAGTTTCCTGGGAATTACAAAACAAAGCTGTGATGTTACTTTCATCCTTCTAAGAAAGAGCTCTGGGGTTTCTTTACATTGTTAGCTTTTAATTTACATGTATAAAATCTGGATATTACATAGGAGAGCTTCACAGCTAGCTAGTATTACCAAAACTTAGCATAATATTTTCAGAATGCCAGTTTTGCCATCATTTTGCTTGCAGGGATCCTTTACACTTCCATACAGCAGACCTTCAGTCCCAAGACATTACCCTGCCCTATACATCCCTTGGTAAGTTTTCACCAGCTGCAGTTGAGGATGAATGTGCTATATCAATATCAAACTGAAACATTAAATAATATTACAAAAATATAGTCCAAATACAGTATATTTTCTTAGGTCATTAACCAAATACCTATCAGGTTCTGTTACAAAGTCTTTACTGAACTTTCTGTAAATCTGTATTTTGGTGCAAACCAGGTCCATACAGGTTGATACCACTGTACCTAAAATGGTTATCTTCCATGGTAGTTATTCATGAATAGCAATAGTGTTGTGTACTATGGATAATATTGCCAAATTTTTGGTGCCTAAATTTAGGCTCTTGAATTCTATATTCAGATATCTAAATATGGATGTGCTTTTGAGAGGAATCAGTTCATTGCAAATGCCGTTGATTTCTTTCCAAGTACTGGGTGGTCAGTACCTCTTAAAATGCGATGACATGAGTTTAGTAACCTAACCAGAGATAGAAAGATACAGCTTTGAGCATTAGGGTTTGAAGATATCAGACTTTGCCACCGTCTCTTTTTTTCCCCATGGATTATCCATTCTGTGAATTTTCTCTGAGATTTGCCTGCAGATGCTCATATATTTAATTATTCTCTATTATTATTTAAGCCACTGTGCTCCAGGAATAGGCTAGAACTCCTCTGTTTGTCCTGAGGAGTATCTACTGTAGGTCCTCTTTTTATTTTTTTGAGTATTAAAGAAAATCTCCTGGGTAGCTACTGTCAGCCTTCTAGCAAACCTACTCAACATCCAGGGATTTTTTCTATCTCCCAAAGCAGCTGCAAGCAGGTTTTTTTACATAGAAGATTTGAGATATAGTTCAGCAAGAGGAGTTTGTTAGAAACCCCCCAGATTATTTTCAAGATGTTCCAGGAGGGGGGTGTTAAGAGTAAGGAAACAGACTATGGGAAGAAAAACGGAAAACCTGGAGTAAATATTCCCCTTATTAGTTGCATGCAAGCTCTTCTTTATTTTTATACACACACGGTGTCCCAGCATATGAAAATGTTACATAATCTGTCAATTGCGTATTTCTGTGCACATCTTGTCTCTTTTCCTTATGACTCCCTTTCTGCCAGCAATTCAAAGCATATCAGTCACTTGTTGGAAAGAAGGGAAATGGCAACATGTGTAAGCAACATTATTTTTTCTGCTTCTTATACCTAAGTTATGAGATCAAAATCAGCAGTAAGGTACGGGGACCACTGGGGCTTAGCACCTAGGATACTCCCTACAGACACAGCAGAAAAAGCAGTCACTGCTTTCTCCTAGGCAGTTTTACTGGCTGTTCTTCACATGAGAATCACTTTAAGAGAAACAAGCATTTTGCAAAGAGGCTATACTCTCCTGCAACCTTGGCTACTAACAGGAATGGAAAGGATGAAATAATGCAGTGACGAAGGGACCTCAACCCTGTAACTGTTACAGATATAACATCAAAGAATGAATGGGGGTTTCTTTTGAGGTATGAGCTCACTGCTTTTTGCCTGGATATCTCCTAGGAGGTGCATCCATCTTCTCACCAGCTTCTGACTATACATCTGCCCCCAAGAAGGTGTCTCAGGAGCGGAGACACAGAGAAAAGTCTCCAGTGCACTTGTTGTTAACTGCTCCACCGGATGACCTTGCAGCTGGCTTCAGTGCCTCACCACAGCACAGACCATCCGCACAGAAGGTCTGCTCTCCAGAGGGTGCAGCCACAGTCCCCCATATAAGTAAGTACAGTCCCATTCCCTGATCCAGAGAGCTTGGCTAGGTTTCTTCCCAGCCAGTACAGTGTGTGAGTTACAAACTGTATGTTAAATTCAGCCATTCTGTAGAAACCAGGGGAATCCCACTATCAATCACTGATCTCTTACACTTTATGATTATAGTATCTGTACTCCACACTGCATTTATTTTTTCAGGTACTTTTGTAATACATCACTTACAGAATCCATCCATGTTGCTGAACTTGAAGACGAATAATTCTCAAGTGTACACTTGAGATCAAGTCTTCCATTTATGGTTCCAACAACTGCAATTACAGTATGCAAATTTATTGAAACATAACATACTGAGGGTTCATTTTAAAGCACTGCTTTAGCAGCTGTGGCCCACTTACTTGTTCTTGTATCCATCAGGCTGCCTGTCACAGTTCTGTTCAAGCAGAAAGTTTCTTCTGTGATAAATTAATTGTGAGTAAAATGTAGCAGCTAATGAATGTACTATACAAAGAGAAGAGAAGAGAAATTCCATGCAGTACTGGTAAATTGCTTTATTTGGATAAATAATGTCGGGATGCTTAACATCAATATTTGCAGTAACAAGCATAACAGTTGCCTAATACTAAATATTTGTCATAGTTGTTGTGGTTCCTGTAACACATTTAGAAAAGTCTTGGGTTTTACTGAAAGTATTGATGTAAGGCTGTGTTTGTGTAGCTCTTAAGTGATAAAAATAAGCTTTCCTGCATCACAGAATAGGTGTGAGGGTGAAGAACATTTTCAGGGTCTATTAGTGTCTATTAATGACTTGCCAGGGAGCCAGGCTATCAGGACTGCTTTATTACATTGAAGTGGCAGAAACACCCCAAAATGAATAGATGCAGTAGGAAAAACTAGATTTTCATACAATACTTACTGAATATCATGTTGAAACACTACATTTCTCTGTTTTTCAAGGTCTGAAAATACAGACACATAAGCACTGCAGGTAGGAGGGTAATAGGGATGCTGTGCACTCAGCTCTAAGCTAGTGCTATTGCAGGCAGAAATCTAACCATAGCTCCAAGGAGTATTTTGTGCTTCTCAGGTGGCATTTTTTTTGTAGTTCCAAGTTCAGCGTGTCTATATTGTATTGTTATCTTATTAATGCAGACTTCTCAGTCACTTTATCTTTTGCATTCTTGGAACATCAGAAGCTTGTCTCTAAAACAGCTGAGCTGAGCAGTCACCCTGACTAGAACATTAATATTGCTGCTCATTGACCTTTGCTTCCCCCAGCTGCTTGGCTGTGTGAAGATGAAGTGCATGTTTGTTAGCTAATCTATATTTTTTAATGTTTATTTCACAACTAAGAAATGCGTGTTGGTAAACAGAACACAAATATGTGTGGCATTTCCCCATCAAACCACTGAATTGGCAACATGAGTGAGGTTCTTTTGTCTTGTTTGTTAATCTGGTCAGCCAGTTACCTCCATCTATGGCTCATTTTGGGTTTGGTTTGGTTTTTTCCCCTCTTTTTATTTGAGAATTTGGTGACAGTAGCAAAAACGAAACAGTCCAAGTTCTGTCCAGAAAAGTCTGCAAGGATGGGAGGCTGTAGTAATTTGTATCATATGGGCATCACCTTGTCAGTCTGTGGGTGTTAGTGCTCAGTCAGACAGGCACAGTGCCTTTTGAATTTTGCATTGGTCTGAATCCTCAAAGGGTTAGCTTTTCTGGTTTTATTTTTGGCTTCAGTATGTTACATCTTTCTATACCTTAGTTTTCCATCTGTAAAATGCAACTGACAATACTGCTCTCCTTTGCACAACTCTTGCAGTTTTACTGGCAAAGAGGACTTAGAAGTTGTGGGCATAATACTCATTTAGTAACCCTTGCTCTCCATTCCCCAAATGGGGACATTTATAGGCAAAATAGAAACGTGTTTGCATTGTCACTTAAACAGAAATCCCACTAAGTATAAATCTCTGTTAATAGCCTTCACTTCTTACTCATTTTTCTTTGCTACTGGAAGTTTTATTGTTTGCAATTTTATTTTCTAAGAACGTCAGATGGAATGTTAAAATAATTTATAATGACTTTTTTTTAATCTGTGATAACATATTGATGAATAATTTCTCACTAGCTTCTCAGCCCATGAAAAATAGTAAGGATACACGTAGGGGACCACAGAACAAGATGGAAAGCCTGCAGAACCTGATGGGACTGTTAAAGATAAAAAACCAAGGCACAAGGATTTACCAAAAGTATTCCTATTTTATTTAAAATACACGCTCTGCAGAGACTGTTCTAGTTACCTGCCAAAGTACTACCTGTGTTTTTGCTTTATCTAAAATGAGGTAATTTTAGATGTGCCTGGTTTACTAGCAGTACCCACTTCTACATTACCCTGCTCCTAGGAGAAAAATTGGATTAACTCTATGATGCACTGTTGTTCAGCCCCTTAATTCTAATAAGCTTTGAGATCCTTAACATTTCAAACATGGCAGCTAGTGAGGAGTGCTGGCATGTCCAATTAAGTGAAATTCTTGACAAGCTGATGACTCTTTCATGGAAACTGAAGGATACTCTGACAGCAGCAGACTCCAGAAATATAGTTTTCCAGCAGTGGCCTCAGAAGCATACCCTTTCTTTCCCAGTTTTTAAAATCTGAGATGACCACAGTGACAATGGAGAACTTTCCAGGTTTTCTTCTTGCTCCCTCTGAAGTCACTGGTAAAGTGCTCATGAGGTTCTTTGATGGTAGGAGGCCAAGTGAGATGGAATTTCTTTTTTCTGCACTTCTTCTTATTGCGCATGCCAGTTGCTTCCCCTTCTTTGGCCCTTTAAGTCTCACTGCATAGACTTGGGAAATTATTATTTCTCACATCATACAGGACACATGTGTCAGGGACATACAAGTGACCTGATTTAGGGAAAACTAATCAAGTTGTTTATTTAAAGTATAAGGTAAACATTCTCATTTTTATTTTTTGCCGTCCATTAACATCTTCAGTTTGCCTGGATTTATATCCACATAATAGTATATGTTCCTATCTGTAATGTATTGTTACCATATAAAAGTAAACTTGTTTCCATGAACTGTTAATTTAATTAAATTATTTAATTCTATAATTGTTGCTGATAATTAATAATTTGATTTAATAATTTAAGTATTAATTTCACACCATCCAATAAGAGAGATTCTGAAATCTATAGTACTTCACCTCTACTCCAGCATTTATTGCTTTGGCTTCACAAAGCAGATGAGGTGGTGCCTGTTTAGAACCAGCTTTATCTTTTTTATTAAGGCTCTGCATATAAATAATTACAAACTAAAGCTGCATTTGGGATGTTTTGATAAGTACAGTGTAACATGTATACTGGAAAGCTTGAGGTGTCTGCAGCTGAGGCCTCAATCATTTTAACATAAGGTGGTGGTCAGATAATCCGTTCTCGCTGCTATTTTCAGACACATCACCAGTGATCAGAACTCATGAAGTGAAGACAGAGAAAGCAAAGGAAAAGGAGAAAAAGCTATTGAAGGGAAGACGCCTTGTACATTAAGGATTACTTTCATGTATGTACATTGTGTTTAAGTTATATTTTTAAAGATTAATAATAAAAGGTCTTACAGTTTTGTCATTCTTGCCTGGCACCATGACACTCTTTACAGTTTTTAACTTTTTAATGAGTGGGACATACAGAGTAGAAACATATGTATATACGGACTCGTTCACTGGCACACATTTTCAATAGCTGCATGCTGTGAGGGACACTGGTCACAAGCTGATTGCTTTAAGCTGAAGTAGTTCTTACATGGATTCTGGATCCTGCACACCATTTCAGGTCCTGTTGTTTACAAAGTTAGTTTTAAAATGGTTTGTTAGGCTGCTGCTTTTCATTCTAAAATGAACTGGCTTCCCTTCCCTCCATACTTCTTGTTATTACTTCAAAAAACTCCAATTCATCTGAATACCCCAGAACTGTCAAGTATTTCCTATAAAAGCAGGAAATCTCCCTGTGCCATCTGTTAACATTGAGGTAAAGTGTTGAATCACATACCTGCAACTGCAAGACTGTGCAGATTTCATCCTATACCATGACTTCTTTAAGCAGAATGGATTCCTCAAGTGTAATATGAATAGAGGGTCCACAGTCTACCTTGGGCTTAGCTTTGTAAGCACTTCATTTTTACTTAGAGCTGAGAGAATGTATGTTCCTAGTTTGGGACTTTTTGTCCTTCCTCAATTTGTGTCCCTCTATAAAAACTAAAACAGGAGAAGTTCAGGCATAAAAAAATGCACTTTGAACCTATACTGACTTATTTATTTTAATAACAGCCTAGTATGACTTATATACCATGCTCCACCACCCGTATTAAGAAGTTTGCTAAAATAGTGGGCATATTACTTTCCGTTGGTCTGCAAAATGCTCTTCACTCACCGACACAGACAACCTTCCCTTAATATGAGTGCCTAAGAATAATGTATTCAAAGGCCATTCCTAGTGTGAGATTAGTAATAAACAGGAGGGCATGTTGAGAGCACATGGCGTATGTGAATTGATTTAAAGCCTGCTATGTTTGACATTTGAGGATTTTGCAGCAGTGGGCAAATGACTTACTGCACTTAAAAGACTAACCAATGCTAAAAACAATTCCAAAGTAAGAAGATGAACAGGATCGCTAAGTATTGGATTGATGTTTAAAGCCTCATTAGTGTTCGACGGTATCTCAGGGAACAAAATAGTTGTTTAAAAATAGGCAGGGGAGGAAGAACTTTGAACAAGAACCCAAACTGATTGCTTTTCCAGGATTTGCCATTGAATTTTTGTCTGGGGACTGGTTGTGAGGAGCAGATTAATAGTACTGCCACTTCAGACCCCAGCAAGGCTTTCTGAGAAGTTGGTCACAGAAGCTGCTGACCAGGTAGCAGGAGAGTCCTTTCTACATACAGTACTAACAAAGCAAGGTGCAAGATGTCCTGTGATAAATCTGTACCCCAACAAATCATCCACAGGGTCAGCAGGAGGTGCCAGTGGCACAGCGTCACTAGCATTAATGTTTTTCCTCATTATCTGCTTTCTGAAAAGCAGTTATTGCCTTGAGTTTGAGGCAGCATGGAATGCCATGCTTGAATTCAAGGGGCTTACCCAGTGATTTTGTCCAAACCAAATGTTCTGTAGCTATGGATCAGCAAATGTAGCTTCATGAGCACAAGCCATGCAGATACAAGCTTGGGTTTGTTGACTTTAAAGCTACGGAACTGTATTCAGAGTGGATCAAATCTCTGATGTTTTTTTCTTGTCTTCTTGTGCCAGTAGAAGAGATCAGCGAGTTGGTCCTAAGCTATCCTCAGTCATTGTCAGCAGTATTTTGTTTTAATTCAGATAATTTGCTTTATTTTCTATTCATTGATTCTGTCATTTTTTGCAACACTATTGCAAACTTAGTGAAAATGTTAATTAAGTTACCTCTCCTTTCCTAGGAACTGATTGCATTGAAAATGAAAGGATCATTTTATAGTTGGCTTGTGTATTACAATTTGGACTTACTATACATATTTGACAGGTCTACCAAAGTTTTCATAAGAGTGAGGTATAGAGGATGGGAACATACATTCACCCTGTAGTCCTGCAGGTTGGAAAAGGTCAATGAAAAGTGCACTCTCGTTTGTGTTTAAGGAGCTAGGCTAAAAAGAGTTCCAAAAGACTGCAGCTCTGTGAGAACAGAAAGGAGCAGGTGGATCAGTACAAATAGCCAGAGAGAAGGGAGATCTGTCAAGCGAAAAAGCAGCTTAACATCCTTGTGGTGTAATCCAGTGAAGTTGAGAACATGTCTGGGCTTCCTCCCTGCCACCAGCACCAGGCCTGGGGAGGCAAGAGGGTCAGAAACTCAGGGGCCGTAGAGCAGCTCTAGCCATCCCGTGCTTGAATAGCAGCACAAATAGCACTTTGTTATTTCATGCCATACAGGCGGATGACACAGGAAGACCATTAGGCAAATCTTGACCACAGCAGGACACCACAGATGGCAACCACCCCCCTAGGGAGAAAACCTAGTATCAGGCTAATATTTTTGAACGGATCATGTGAGAGTCTCCGAACAGTAAGTCTAACTCTCAGAGAGAATGTGGGGTGGAAATGGTTTTTGCAGAGGCACCTGCAAAACGAATAGGAAGCAAACAAACTGCATTACAAGATTTCTGTGTGTGACTTGAAATTGGTTTATGCCCAGTAGCTGCAGACTCAGGTCATCAGCTCAAGCTTGTCATCCACATACAGCATTTAGCATTTGTACACCAAACTACTTCATAAGTAGGACCAGATTGCATTTTACCTAGCAGTAATCAAATGTCCAATTTGTCAGAAGTTTATTATCAGCAATAGGAGCAGGTGAACTTAAAAGGTAACTCCTTGCTTACAGAGTTTCTGGCTTTGCCAGACTGTGAGAGAGACAGTTTATTATTTGATCTTTGATATCCTGAGCCACTGGCTGCTAGGCTGTTACATCCACATAGGAATGTCAACAAGAACTTGTTTCTCACTTGTAGCTTCACTAGTCTCACAGCCAGGAAATAGGATTAGCCAGATAGCAGCCCCATCTAGCAGAATCATTTTTATTCAGCAAGGCAACTTGATTTAAATCTAACTTCATACTTAAGTGAACAGATTCTCCAACAATGAGGAATCAGCTCTGTACACTTAGAGAAAATACTAATTAACTCCTCCAATAATACAAAAAAAAGTTTACTTTTTATAGCATTGACCCTGCAGGGCCAGCAGTGATGTGAATGGCATAATTCAGAGGTTAGAGCAAAAGCACAGTGCAGGTCTTTGCAGAAACGTTGCTCAACCATTCAGCAAGGTGATGCAATCATGCCTTGTCTGTGGGATCAAAGTGCAGGGTGTTTAATTGAAAAAAAAAAACAAACGTTCTCAGTTTGGAAGACCTTTCAGGGTTAGTCTGTTTGAAGCATGTTCATCATTGCATTAGAGAATCTATTCTAGTGCAGGTTAAGTGGCTTTCTAGTTGTCCTGGGTTCAGCTGTGAAAATCTAATACCACAGTTAATCTCCTCCAACAAGCCTCCAATGTATGTATAAACACACTCAAATGGCCATGGCTGCTGGACAAATGCCTATAAAGTTAACAGTATATCACTATTTGAACAGCTTGTGCTAATGGGAAAAGGAAATGCGAACAGCTTGAAAGAACATTTTGCTTTGAAAAGTCATCTTCTATTACAACTATTTCAGCTGTACCTCTGAGAAAGTTGGGGCTGTTCAGCCTGGAGAAAAGAAGCTGTGTGGAGACCTTATAGCAGCTTTCCTGTATCTGAAGGGGGGCTACAAGGATGCTGTAGAGGGACTGTAGTGATAGGACAAGGGGCAATGCGATCTAACTTAAACAGGGGAAGTTCAGGTTAGATGTAAAAGTTCTTTACTGTAAGGGTGGTGAGGCACTGGAATGGGTTGCCCAAGGAAGTTGTGAATGCTCCATTCCTGGCAGTGTTCAAAGTCAGGCTGAACAGAGCCTTAGCTGATATGGTCTACTGTGAGGCATCCCTACCTATGGCCAGGGGGGTTCGAATTAGATTATTTTAAGGTCCTTTCCAACCCAAACCAGTTTGTGATTCTATTAATCTTAAATATATTGTTCATTTAAATTTATTGTTATAAAAAAAGGCAATTGCCATTATAGGCATTAGGTCAAGCACAATTTTATGTGTTCAGTTACAGCTGTAAGTTACTGACTGAAACCCACATAGACATTCTCTGTGCTCTCTGGTGGTGCATATGGATAGGATTTAAGAGCTTTCTGTTTATAAACAGTAAGCAGAGTCATAATTAAACAGTGCAAATATTTCTTACAGTGAAACAGTAGTCCCTAAAAATAAGCCTCATCTTAATATTTATTTTTTAATCCAGGGTGTGCTAACTATGTCCTATTTTCCTTTCAAGTGTATAAAGTAACTTAAGTGCCCTATTAGTTGAGAGAGTTGAGGGCCAGTACATGCACATGCTGATATGTTTAAGACCACTGAAACAACATCAACCACCTACTGAATTGTCAGCTCTGTCCTCTCCCTTTTGAGTTAGTGGACAGAAATGATACCACCTTCCTCTCAGACCTGCAGTACTTCTCATCCTGGAGAAACAGTTAACAGAAAGCTTACAGTCAGTCTTGAGGTCAGCTCCCACCCACAATTCCTAACCTGTTCTCTTCTATAAAAGACCCCTTGAAGGAAAGATTTATTCTCCCAAATCTTCATGTTGCTCAAGGCAACCAAAGAGCAGAAGTTACTTCAGCAGACTAACTGAGCTACAGAACAACTTGCTCTGTCATGTAGCAACAGCTGGGAGTTTTGTTTTACATGACAGCACAAAAACTCCCAACTTGTCAGTGCAGTTGTTCACTTGCCTTGGTCTCTTTCCCTCTCACCCTCCCTTCAATGCCTGATCCAGATTTTCTTCAGCTTGAGGTGGAACTAGATCATCTTAAGGTCCTTTCCAACCCTAACTATTATATGATTTTGTGACTATACCTGTGTGTGCAGGCAGCCTAGCCTGCTCACAGTGGATATGTTCAATGAAATAGCTGGTGCTGAAGTCCCAGTAACAGCATTCCAGACAACTGTTCTTCTCTGGTATTATCCCACCAATTGGGTGCCCATTAACCATTAGATGCAGGAGGTAAGCTGCTGAAGCTCATCTTCCAGTCCACCACCAAAACCCTTTCCATTTCAGGTGTTCTGACTGCTCCACCATGCAAGGCAGGAAAGACTTAGCGGAGACAATTGGATCAGCAACGTGCTTTTGAATTAAATGTTCCAAACCAGCATACTAATTTATGCATTTCCAGAAATCCTACAGAACTATGTTCTTCAGACCAAGTTCACTCCAAAGAAGTGGAGTGCAAGCTAGACCTAGGTTCCTCATTATAGAAAGAAAAGCTTGCTTAAATGGCAGCATACGTTTGTAACAAAAAATACAAAGAACAAGCAGCTTTCTGCCCTATAAAAATATCACCTGATAGAAGCTGGAAATATTTTACATTATCTGTCATACTAAAAGGCCACAACTTAAAATAAATTTGTGTTGAAAAGCCTTACCTTGGGAAAAAAAACAAACCTTATGAATTTAAGCTAAGTAGTTGCTAACAATACTGTGGTATTGTTCTAGGTATGCAGAATATGCCATCTCTTATTTCAGAAACAATCCTATTCCCTACCCATCAGCACAGGCCAGTTTTTTTAAAAGCCTGCTCCCACCCTGACAAAGTAATACATTAAGCCAAGGACAGTCCTTCCTGACCTTTGCTCTTCTCCCAGCAGGATAATCTGACTAAAAGGGACTCACATGCCTGGCATCTGAGAAGAAGTGCTTCCTGGAAAGTAGGGAGTAGAGACTAAGGTACTCTAGGCTTAAACCTTTGTTACTCCAGCCACTCTTCAGGAATTCTTTAGCACTAAGATTTCAGGTCAAGTAACTCACTTCTATCACAGTTAATAAATTGAGTCAGTTCACTGGTCAAGTTGTAATAGACCATCAGTCTTAAAGCATTTATTGTTTACTTAATACATTACATAAGTTAAAACACCCAAGTTCCTATTACAGTGTAGGTAACCACACTTCCTAGTATGCCTCAAAAGCCGTAAGCAGTTGGTGCAGAGATGCATTCATCCCATAGCCCTACGCAAAGCAACACCAGCTCCAGTCCAGGGGCCAGATTTACCTAGCCAGGCAGCTGCTTGGAACACTGCTCATGCCTTTGTAGCCTACCTTGCACATCTTCAGAACACACTTGAGGTTCATTTTTCAGGTTGCCAAACCATTTCCTAAAGGGGGTGGCAGAGATCTGCTGCTCATGCAGTTGAACCAGGTTTGAGACAGGATTTACAGAGCTCTGCACTTGAGAAGGTCTTCTACTGCAGACAGGGTGAAAGTTTAGGGGTTCTATGATTAATCTAAGCAGGTCTGCCATTAGATAAGCAGCTTCCAAAATCCCATTAATGGTGTCCCCACCACTGATGAAGAACTCTATCCTCATGTTCAGTCACCAGGGTTCTGTTACCACATTCTTCCCAGCGTCTCACCTTCCCATTCTCCACCAAGATAAATTTCCACTCAACTCTGGTGTCTACTGGCAAACTAACAGATTCAGACCAGAAGTCATCCTTGTCATGCTTGAGGGGAACATAGCTGTGCCACTGGCCAAGACACTCGTGGTCACCAGTAACACCAATGAGCTGACCAGCCGAGTGGGTGATGTAGTGCACACGGAAAGTCACGTGGATGTTTTGAAACATGGGGGGCACAGCTGCAACTCGCTTGGCTCTCAAATCCCCATCGGGGCAGTCTCCTTGTTCCCATTCCTTGCTGTCTGCGTCTTCCATTCTACCATTCTTGCCAGCCTCCCCCCAGGCCAGATGAGGGGAAACGACTTCCCAGTCTTCATGGTCCAAGTCCCTACTCTCCTGACCTTGCTGTTCCTCACTTCTGTCCTTACAAACACCATCAGGGGCTCCTGCCGAGTTCATCACACTCCATCCATCACTTGCCTGTCCCATCTGGGGTCTTGGTTCACCGGCCTGGCTTCCATGGGTATCAGCTGGATGCTCCCTGGAGCCAGTGGCTCCCTGCTTCAGCAGCAGTTGCTCCGTCTCCAGAGGTTCACTGGAAACTCCACCACCTTCAACATGGTTAAGCTCTTCTCTTGGCCCAGTCACCAGACCCTCTCCTGGCTTCCGAGTGCTGGTCAGGGCAGCAGCCTTGGCCTCTGTAAGATCCTCTAGAAACAGAACAGGAATGGTTTTAGCAGTGCAGTTAAGCTTTACAGCAGCAAACCAAGTCCTCACTTGCTCTTGGGCAGACCGGCACACCCCGGCTCCCAGCCGTCCCCCTGCGTAGTACCTGTGGCCGCCGCCGCTGTCTCACCGGCCACCTCCTCGCCTCGCCCATCACCTCCGCCGTACCAGAACCAGGCGACGAGGGCGGCCAGCAGCCCCACCACCAGCGCCGGCCACAGCCCTGGCCA